CTCGAGCATCAACCCTCCCGCTCGAGCGTCACACACAACAACCCGCTCGAGCGTCAAAACTCCCGCTCGAGCGTACAATTCTGCAGAGGAGATACTAGAAGATGGAACACTACGCTCGAGTGTCGGAAACCCCGCTCGAGCGGACAGACAACAACGAAGGGCCCGCTCGAGCGTCAAAATCCTCGCTCGAGCGCGAAGGCCAAAATCTGGGCAACTACACTTGGTTCCTAAGCTCAACCAACCTGTTATACACCTGCCCAACACAACCCAAGACTCAATTACAAAGAGTAAAGGATGTAAACGAGATGTACACAACAACCAATGAAAAAGGAAACCGGGATCGCTATAGAATCTGACTATTATTTGCTAACGTAAGGGAGGTTAGTGTAATTTTTGAAACCACATGGGAGGTATTTGTAATTAAGATAAACCTCAAGGGAGGTAAGTGTAATTTACCCTAATTTTTTTTATTAACATTGTAAACAATAAGTAAAGAATCATAATAATAACAACAACAACAACAACATATTTTTATTTTTCATGTGATGTCTCACCACTTCATTGGTAATAGAAATAAATGATTCATATTCAACTTTTATATAGTGAAATCTACACTTGGAATAAATTTCAATCACACATTACTTTTCTAAATCAATTCACCACTTAAACTATCTTCTTTTCTTTTAAATAATACTCACCTTCAAAAACCCACCAAACAATACTCTTTTCAAGTTCATCACCAAAAAATTTGTATATGTATATATATATATATGTAAACTACATGTATGAATAATTTTTTTTAATTGTTTAAAAATTAGAAATTCAAGAAAATCTAGAAAGGTATGCATGGAGGGAATTTATTTTGGAAATAAATGTGTCTATGAAAAGAGATGTAAATTTTGAAATGAATTAGTTTACATTCTTTTTAAAACACATAAATGTAATAATTAGAGTTTTCCTTCTTTTGGTTATTGAAAGCTAGCCAATAGATTTTTTTGGATAAATTACACTTACATTCCCTTAGGGTAACATAGGGTAATATAGTTATTTTACACAGTCAAGTAGCGTCATTTGTGCTAACTTAACAGATTGAGAGAATTTTGATAATGCCAGTAAAAGTAAAAGAAGTTTCTGTAATTATTGAAATCACTGGAGAGATTTTTGTAATTGTCAGAAACCTTAGGGGAGGTAAGTGTAATTCACCCAAAAAAATCTATTGGCTAGCTTTCGATAACCAAAAGACGGAAAACTCTAATTATTACATTATTTATGAGTTTTAAATAGAAAGTAAACTAATTCATTTCAAAGTAAACTGTTTAAAAACTTAATTTATAAGTGATGAGGTGAGTCCTCAAATTCATCTTGCTTTTTATTTGATGTGAGACTCTGCCTTCACATATATTCTAACACCAACCACACAAATATAAAATTGAAAAATTGATATTTTAACCAACATCATTGTCGAGAAACATTTTTAAGTAATCTAGCCTATGTTATATGAGCTTTTCAAAATATATTAGATATCCATGTCAAACACCTGACACTTGGACATGAATACAAGTTATGTATCTGATACTTTTTATCAGACACTTCTTATATACTTATATTTACAATTATTATTATATGTATATATTGTTGTATACTTGCTATGAAATGAATAAAACACCTTTTAACAGTATGGCCTCGTTCAGGAAGTTGACTATTTTATTAGGCTATTTTAATAGGCTAAATTTTTTGTAATTAGGAAGATGGTTGGATTTTTTATAGTTGGATGTGATGTTTATGAGAGAAAAAGTAAAATGATTATGGGTTTGATGTGACATTTTGTCTTATTAGCTATTTTAGCCTGTTTTGTCTTTTTGTGAATTCTAGTCTAAAAAAGCCAAAAATCCACTTCCCAAACAGGGCCTATATGTTACGTATAACATAATTATATCTAATATAATAGATTAAACTATGAAAATATAACTATTTTATTTTAAGTTTGTGCATCCTTAAATTTAAAATTTGATAAGTCTAATTTTAAAATACACACTCACCTTTAGGCTAAATTTTGGGGTTGAGTTAAGCCTCAATGGAAGTCAGAATTGGTGCTACTAAATGAGATGTTGAGTTGAGCTTCAATGGGAAGTCAGAATTGGTCCTGCTTAATGGGACTTTTTGTGAGGCCTTGATTTTTGTAACTTCTTGTAGACCCTTTTGAATTATTTATATAAAGACCTTTAATTTCTTATTTAAATTAGAGTTGGAAATGCGTGCCAACCGAAAACTTGCATACCTAATCAATCTTGGGAACTTAGGAATCATTTCTAATACCTTGATAATAATTAATTAACCCCTAATTATAAAATAATCGCTTAAGGCCTTAGATTTCCAATTCTCATAAGGTTTGTTCAGTCGATTATCTTTTAATTAGAAAATGAGAAACCCAAACCAAATTATTTTCCCTATCACTAATTTAATTAATTCTACACTTGAAATAGATATCCTAATTCATAAATTGAGCCCATGCCCTCATACTTTATTAATATTTCACAATAGCCTCAAAATCAGTTCTTTATATATAAAAAAGTACAATCCATTATAATAATATTTTCCACAAAATATATACACTATTTAAAGATGAATTTGTACACAAAAAGAAAATGAAAAATCCTCTCACGGCCAACCATATATTTGGTATATTTTTGTTGTAATAGTTGATTTTGGGTGAACGCTCGAGCGGTCATGTGGTCGCTCGAGCGTAGATTTGCAACTCCCTGTATCTCGCATGTTTGCAAGCGAGACCGCTCGAGCGAAGGGAAGGTCGCTAGAGCGTAAAAGTCAAACTTCTAATATTTTCACTATAGCTCTGCAAAACTTCTGAGACTATGCATTTATAGCTCGAGTGGTGGAAAGTTCACTCGAGCGGTCTCTTTGTATTTTGGCACTTCGCTCGAGTGATGGAAAGTTCGCTTGAACAGTTTGTTTCGGGGAAATAGAGTTAAATATGAACTAAACCCAGTTTCTAGCTCACTTTTCAAATTCTCTCTCTCTAGTAGCTCTATTTCCAAAACCCTAGATTTCATCTAGTAAAAACAAGAATCAAGTGCCTTCATTAAACTTGTTATTCATGCCAAGAGCTACATTTTGAACCGATTGGATCGTGTTATATCGGAAGTTCATCGTGTAGATCTTCATTCTTCACCTACAACTATTGAGGTATGAATATCTTTACCCTTGTATATTTGTACTTTAGTTTAAGTGCTTGTGAATCTTAAGGTGTGGGTAATTAGTGAGATGGTTATGTATATATATATTACATATGGATTTGGTGATGATAATGTGTTTTGTGTGAAATTGATGATGGGTTAGGTAACCAATTATGGAAGATTAAGTAAATAGACATGATTTAAGGGAAATTAATACTTGGAAGGAAAAGCCCCAAAATGTAATGTGTAACCCCAAAGGTTGTTATTTGATTTTGACTTAAAGGGGTAATTGATGAGTAGAATTGAAGGGTCCATGTGATTTCTTGTTGTGTGTTTAAGATGTGATTGTTTTGGAATGTGTTGAGGTGCCCACTTGCCTGGTCGTGTGAGGACAACAAATGTAGGAATGTGTTCAGGTGCCCACTTCCCTGGTCTTGTAAGGACGACGAATGTGGGAATTTTATGAGGTGTCCACTGGCCGGATCGTGTGAGGATGACAAAAGTGGAAAGTTTGAGGCATCCACTGGCCATCCGTGTAAAGACGGAAAAATGTGAAGATTGGATGTTGAATTGTGTGTTGTGTTATAAAATTTTAAACAATGTAATTCATCGGTAGTGACGGAGATCATACATAATTTAAATCAAATATTCATATACTTGATTAAATATATTCTCTACTGGGCAATTGCTCATTCCTACAATGTAATTCATCGGTAGTGACGGAGATCATACATAATTTAAATCAAATATTCATATACTTGATTAAATATATTCTCTACTGGGCAATTGCTCATTCCTACAATGTAATTCATCGGTAGTGACGGAGATCATACATAATTTAAATCAAATATTCATATACTTGGTTAAATATATTCTCTATCGGGCAATTGCTCATTCTTATCTACTAACATTTCAGGACATGAAGAGCCCCAATCCCGCCAATGAAGAAGAAGAAGATGTCTATTTCTTTTAATATCTAAAAGTTTGTGAACTTAAAAATTATAATAGAATCGCTGACCTACATTATTACTTTTATTTTGAAATTGTATATCTTTGTATCAAGGGGCACAATGTAATTAGTAAACTTAATAGACAATGTATTTTTGTTGTTTTCTTTAACTTATTGAACTATGAACTGTAGTAATTTTGTAAATTGAAACGTATAGTTCAATGAGAAAGAGAAATGTTGAATTGAATTGTGTTGTTGTCATTTGGGAATTGTTTTTGGGTCATTACAACTTTGGTATCAGAGCAAACTGGGTTGAATACCTGGGGCTCATCGGAGGTGACTTTCGTCACATTGGGTTGTCATGCTAAAGTGAGGGGTTGGTTGTTTTACTTGATTATCTATTTATGTGAATAAGTGGGTATGCGGTCATTTCTCTAGAATATGTGACTTGTGTCCACTACATTCATTGAATTCCTTTGGAAAGGTATCTGATCAATGCTTTTTCCATTGGGAAATTCTTAAGCATCGTGGAATGAGTTGATATCTTGGGAGGTGAATATGTATGTGTTCTAATTGTTTATGTGCTTATGTGTTGAGAATGAGATTGAGACATAAAGGAGAAATAATGTGAGAAGTGATAAACTAGTATACGAATTTTGAGTTAATCTTGTCCACATCTACTCTTATATAGGATGTTTAGAAGTGGTAGATGTCATGGCAGACCTCGTCAAGGTGGTCGGGATATCCTGACTCAACTAGAGATCCCTCATCAAGAAGAAGGAGTGGGTCAAAATAATGTGGCTGCCCCACCCACCTAAGATGCTATGAGAGTACTGGCTCGAGAGAGGGTTGGGGCGTCAATGGATATTCTTAGAGCTGAGCAAGTGGCTAAGACTATCGAAGGGGAGACTAAGGCTTCATTCCTGAAGAAAGAATTCTTCCATTCAAATCCTATTGAATTTATTGGGGACGCCGAATCATTAAAGGCGGATAAATGGCTTGAGCAAATTACCAAATTTTTTGAGATTTTGGACATTCATGAGAGTGAACTTTGGGCGGCACTTGTTAGTTATCAATTGAAGGGGGATGCTGGCCAATAGTGAAAATATGCCAAGGGTCAAATTGAACACACTTGGAAGTCGATGCATTTTAGGAGAAATACCTTCCTCCTATTGCGAGGAAACATTTAATGAGGGAGTTTGGAGAACTTGAACAATCTAACTCCACAGTAGCGGAGCTTGAGGCTACCTTGACGAGTTTATCTCGTTTTGCACCTGACCTTGCGGTGACGGAAGAGCATCGGTGTTTAGAGTTTGAGAAGAGCTGAGGCTGGGAATTTTGACGAAAGTGATGGGGAACATGATCTAGGATTATGATAGACTAGTAGAGTTCGTGGCACATGTTGAGATCATGGTTGAAGGTGAAGAGAAGAGGCAACGGCTTAGGAGACAAGGGATTGTAGAATCTCAAGTAAGTTCTATAGCATCCAAAAAGTTAAAGGGTTCTACGTTTTCTCCTCTACTACCATTACCGGCCGTTTCATCAATTCCTATGTCTAGGAAGAGTATAGATAGTACAGGACAGAGTGGGATCACTTATTATTGGTGTGATGAGCCGAGCCACAAGTCCAATGCTTGCCTACAGAGTAACCAACAGTGTCAGACTTCTACTCACTCATAGAGTCAGACTTTGGTTGTAGGTTAATCACCCGTTTGTTATCAATGTGGCTGGCCGAGTCACGTAAAGAAGTTTTGTCCCCAAATTGTCGGGACGGCCAGTGCTTCAGGGTTTCAGGCAAGACAGAGCCAGAGGTAGACTCATCAGCCAGTTCAGTCTGGATAGGTGTCTGGGGTAGTACATGGGGCCAGCTCCGCACAGTCTGTGCAACACGCCTATCGTTAGAGAGGTGAACAGAGACCCAAAAGAGAGTCTATGCAGTTATCACATCTGAATAGTTAGCTGGGCCATTGGTGATGCGAGGTAAATATCTTATATATAATACATGGGCTAATGTGTTGATAGATAAGCATCTCATTCATTCATAGGATCTATATTTGCCTCCATGTTGGGGTTAGAGACTGAACCATTAGAGTATTCTCTTGTGGTAGAATCACCAGTTGGGGGTAAGATGGTTTTGAACCATGGGTGTTGTGGTTGTGTGATCGAAATCACTGATCGCTGACTCCCTTTTAGTTTGGTGTTGTTAGATATGATCAGTTTTGACGCCATCCATGGCGTGGATTGGTTGTCCTTTTATCGTGCCATTATAGACTGTTATCGCGGGAGAGTTACGGTGTGTACTTTTGGTGGTGACTGTTTTTATTTTCTGGGGAATAGAACTGATAGACTTTTATCGCCTTTATATGACTCTCGTAGTCGAGGTAGATTCACTACTCTTCTTGCAACCTAGACAAACGATGGGAATGGTGGAGTGCGAGGGGAATTTCCTAGGGTGGTTTGTGAGTATTTAGATGCCTTTCCAAAGGACCTCACTGAATTACTGCCTCATCATGAGGTCAAGTTTTCTACAGACTTAGTGCTGGGCACGACACCTATTTCCATGTCACCCTATAGATTTGCTTTGGTAGAGCTGCTTATTTTAAAGAACCAACTGCAAGAGTTATTAGACAAGGGTTTTATACACCATAGTACCTTGCCCTGGGGAGCACCAGCTCTTTTTGCCAAGAAGAATGATGGTTCATTGTGGCTATACATCGATTATTGCAAGCTGAATAGGTTCACAGTTAAGAATAAGTATCCATTGCCTAGAATAGATGATCTTTTCGACCAATTTAAGGGTTCTCAATGTTCCTCAAAGATAGATCTAAGATCGGGTTATCATCAATTACGTGTAAAAGAGGAAGATATTCCAAAGACGATCTTTCGTACTTGATATGGCCACTATGAATTTCTTTTGATGCCATTTGGTTTAACTAATTCTCCTACCACTTTTATGGACTTAATGAATTGAGTTTTTCGAGAATATCTTGACAAGTCTGTGGTCATTTTTGTGGACGACATTCTTATATATTTACCCTTTGATGAGGAACATGAGTCGCACATTTGTATTGTTTTGTAATTATTTAGGGAGCACAGGTTGTATGGTAAGTATGAGAAATGTGAGTTTTGGCTCTCTAAGGTGAAAATCTTGGGTCACATTGTTTCCAAGTATGGTGTTACCGTAGATTCTTCGAAGATTGAGGAGGTGCTGAATTGGAAGCGACCTAAGAGCGCATTTGAGATCTGCAATTTCTTGGGTTTTGTCGGCTACTACAAACGGTTCCACTTTAGCTTCTCCGTTGACTAGGCTATCGAGAAAGGGAGTGAAGTTTGTTTGGGATGAATCATATAAGAAATCCTTCTTGGAGCTGAAGGCTGGATTGACCACTATGCCAATTTTAGTCATTCCAGAAAGAGGCTTGGGGTACACTATGTACTATGATGCTTCTAGAGAAGTTTTGGGGTGTGTTTTGATGCAGGAGAGTAAAGTGGTGGCGTATAGTTTGCACCAATTGACAATTGAAAACCCATGAAAGAAATTACCCAACTCATGACTTAGAGTTGGCTACATTTATTTTTTCTTTAAAATTGTGGAGACATTATTTGTTTGGGGAGAAATTTAAGGTGTTTTTAGATCATAAAAGTCTTAAGTACCTATTTTCTCAAAAGGATTTGAATTTACGTCAAAGGAGGTGGATGGAATTTTTGTAGAATTACAATTTTGAATTACACTATTACCCCAGAAAATCCAATGTGGTGGTCGATGCTTTAAGTAGATAATTTGTGAGTACTATTGCTAATCTTGCAATTAAAGAATGGGAAATGTTGGGTGATTTGGATGAATTTGAATTGTATCTTAGTGAATCTCCCAAGCATGCTACCTTGTTTTCCGTCCTTGCACAACTAACACTTATTACTTGGGTTATAATGGCACAATAGGGTAACTTGGAAGTTAAAGCAATCAAGGAGAAAATTGCACAAGGGAAGGAGAAAAAGGGTTTGAGGGTAAATTCCGATTCTAATGTTCGGTATCTAGACTGCCTATTTGTACCTAAGTCGAGAAGAGATGAAGTACTTTGGAAATTTCATCACTCCCGCCTTGCGGTACATCTAGGAGTCACAAAGATGTACAACGATCTTAGCCTACAATTTCGGTGGAGGGGTATGAATCGAGATGTGGCTTCATTTGTGTCCAAGTGTTTAACTAGTCAACAAGTCGAGGTAGAATATCAACGGCCAGCCGGGTTATTGAAACCCTTGCCTATAGCTAAATGGAAGTGAGAACATATCACTATGGACTTTGTTTCAGGCCTCTCTACAACACAAAGGGGTAATGATACAATTTGGTTTGTGGTGGATCAACTGACTAAGTCGGCTTATTTTCTCTCTATGTGTATGGATGACTCAACTGATTGCATAGCGGGACTTTATGTTAAAGAGATTGTCTGGCTTCATGGAGTTCCGGTGAGTATCATCTCAGATTGAGACCCTTGTTTTACCACACGATTGTGGCAAAGTTTACAACCCTTTATGGGCACTCAATTAACTTTTAACACTGCCTACCACCCTCAAACTGACGGATAGTCCAAGCGCACTATCCAAATCTTAGAAGACATGTTGAGAGATTATGTACTGGAATTTAAAGGTTCATGGGAGAGACACCTACGTTTAGTGGAGTTCTCCTACAATAATAGTTTCCAAGCTAGCATTAGGATGGCACCTTTTGTAGCCTTGTATGGGTGACCGTGTAGATCATTGGTGTATTGGACTGAGGTGGGGGATTCACCTATGCTTGGACTGGAATTGGTTCATAAGAGCACTGAGAAAATATCTCTTATTCAGAAATGGTTAGTTACGACTTAGAGTCGACAAAGATTTATGCCGACCAGAGGAGGAGACCCTTATCTTTGATGTGGGTGATCATGTATTTCTGAAGATATCGCTTAGAAAAGGCTTAATAAGATTTAGGAGAAGCGAAAAATTGTCACCTAGGTTCATTGGCCCTTTTAATATTATAGAACGGATGGGAGAGATAGCCTATTGCCTTACTTTGTCACCGCAATTATCTGGGGCACACGATGTGTTTCATGTCTCCATGCTCCGCAAGTATGAGCCTGACCCCTCTCTGTTTTAGACTAAACAAATTTAGAGGTGGATGAGAATGTTTCATATGAAGAGAGACCGATGAAAATCTTGGACACTCGAGAATAAGTTTTGAGGGACAAAGTCATTCCCTTAGTCAAAGTGTTATGTCACTACCACGGGGTGGAAGAAACTAATGAGAAGCTGAAGTTCATGAGAAATACCCAGATTTATTTAATCATATGTAAACTTACTTGTTTGTTATCTTTGGATCATGTGTTTGAGAGGGGCTGTAGAAGAAAGTAAGTGAAAGGAATTTAAATCCTCATGTTATTATTTGAATTCATCTTTAATTTCGTTTTGATTTGTGTGATTGTGATGATTAAGGCTATGGCTATTGTGGTATCCATCTTCCTTGGGAATTGTTGGAGCTGTTTTGGCAGGAACTATGTAATTTCAGGAACAAAATTCGTTAAGGGAGGGAGGCTGTAACAGTTGATTTTGGGTGACACTTGAGCAATCATTTGGTCGCTCGAACATAGATTTGCAATTTCTAGTATCTCACATGTTTGCAGGCGAGACTGTTCGAGCAAAGGAAAGGTCGCTCGAGTGTAAAATTCAAGCTCCTAGTATTTTCACTATAGCTCTACAAAACTTCTGAGACCATGCGTTTGCCGCTCGAGCGGTGGAAAGTTTGCTCGAGCGGTCTCTTTGTATTTTGGCACTTCGCTCGAGCGATGGAAGTTTGCTTGAGCCGTCTGTTTGGGGTTACAGAGTTAAATACAAACGAAACCCATTTTCTATCTCACTTTTCATATTCTTTCTCTTTCTAGCAATCCTCTTTCCAAAAACCCTAGATTTCATCTAGTAAAATCAAAAATCAATCTTTGAGCCTTGATTAAAGCTGTTATTCACACCAAGAGCTACGTTTTGAATCAACTGGATCATGTTATATCGAAAGTTCATTGTGTAGATCTTCATCCTTCACCTACAACTATTAAGGTAGGAATATCTTTACCTTTGTATATTTATACTTTGGTTTAAGTTTGTGAATTTTAAGGTATGGGTAATTATTGAGATGGTTGATGTATATACATATATTATATATATGGATTTGGTAATGATAATGTGTTTTGTGTAAACTTGATGATGGGTTGGGTAACCAATTATGGAAGATTGAGTAAATAGACATGAATTAAGGGAAATTAATACCTGGAAGGAAAAGCCCCAAAATGCAATGTGTAATCCCAAAGGTTGTTCTTTGATTTTGACTTGAAGGGGTAATTGATGAATAGAATTGAAGGGTTCTTGTGATTCTTTGTGGTGTGTTTAAGATGTTCTTATTTTGGAATGTGTTGAGGTGCTCACTTGCCCGATCGTGTGAGGATGAAAAATGTGGAACTGTGTTGAGGTGGCCACTTGCTCGGTCATGTGAGGACAACGAATGTGGGAATGTTATGAGGTGGCCACTGACCGGATCATGTGAGGACGAAAAAAGTAGAAAGTTTGAGGTGTCCACTAGCCATCCGTGCGAGGATGGAAAAATGTAGAGATTGAATGTTGAATTGTGTGTTGTGTTATAAAATTTTAAACAATGTAATTCATAGGTAGTGATGCAGATCATGCATAATTTAAATCAAATATTCATATACTTGGTTAAATATATTCTCTATCGGGCAATTGCTCATTCTTATCTACTAACATTTCAGGACATGAAGAGCCCCAATCCCGCCAATGAAGAAGAAGAAGATGTCTATTTCTTATAACATCTAAAATTTTGTGAACTTAAAAATTGTAATAGAACTGCCAAACTACTTTATTACTTTTATTTTGAAATTGTATATCTTTTGTATCAAGGGCCACGATGTAATTAGTAAGCTCAGTGGACAATTAATGTATTTTTGTCGTTTTCTCTAACTTATTGAACTATGAGCTGTAACTTGTAATTTTGTAAATCGAAATGTATAATTCAATGAGAAAGAGAAATGTTGGATTGAATTGTGTTGTTGTCATTTGGGAATTGTTTTTGGATTGTTACATTTGCAAACATCAAAGCATGATTTATGAAAACGTTTTTAATCAATAAAATATTTTTGACTAATGGTACAAATTGGGACAAATTGCTTAAATTATGGAAATTTTTTTGAATAATGGAAAAGTTTTTGATTTTGGTAGAGTTATAAATATTCAAATTGAACTAAGGACATTTTAGGCAATTCGCCACAATTTTTCTATAAATAGAACCACTCCCCTAGCATTTCTTTGCACATCAAACACATACACTAATTTCAACAAGAAGGAGAGAAAGAGGAGAGAAAGTGTGAGCCTTGGAAGAGAAGGAAGAAAAAGAGAGCACACTTGCACAACACCATTCCATAGGCATTTAAGTAAGCCACAACACAAACCATTATTTTATTTTGTCTTCTAAATACATGGTACTCCCTCCGTCCCAAAATAATGGTCCCTTTTGGGGAATTCAACTTTTTTTGATAGTACAATTATTGCATTTGAAAAAAGTTGATTTTCCAAAATTATCCTTTTGATAGTACATTTTTTGGGAATATCAATGTCATAATTGTACTTTTTATATTGTTTATTAATTTAAAAGAAGGGCAAAATAGGAAATTTATATTATTTTTGTACTTGATTTTTGAAGAGGGACAAATATTTTGGAACAATGAAAAATGGAATAAGGGACTAATATTTTGGGACGGAGGGAGTATTAAATGTTTAGAATTTTTTTTTCCAAATGTATATACATGGTGCTCTTGTGTTAAAAATGAAGAGAGCTGAGCCTTGTTCCACCCTTGT